TGGGACCAGGTCCTGGCCGCCTCCGGGTTAATGTGCCTTTGGGGACTCAGTCGGGCCAGGCTTGGCTGGAGGAGCCGGCGGGGGGCCGGCCCGGGACAGCCCCTTCCCGCCCCCGCCCCCGCCCCCGCCGCCGCAGCCCGTGCGCGACGCGCAGGAAGGACGGGGACAGCGGATGTGGTCAGGTGGGGCAATCGCCGCAACGTGCGGCCCCGCGGGTCCGAGCGCGGGGTGGGGCAGGGCCAGCGCGGTGACGTGCGGCCCCGTGACCCTCCCCCAGCCGCTCTCGGGAGGGCCCCGCTGCAGACACCAGCCCCCACGCGCTGTGGCCCGGGCCTCTGGCCCCTTGTCCCCGGGGGCCATCACTGTTCTGTTCCGCTCCTGTCCCTCCACCCCCGCACTACACTGACAGCCGCGGAGGACCTGGTGCCAACCCGCAGACACACCTGGGCAGCCCCACGTGGGAGCTCCACGTGCGGAGGGCCCATGGGTCCCACTTTGGGGAGAGCAGTTCTAAGTCAGCCCCTGGATCTGCTGTCTCATGCCTGCTGGAGCCAGGGCTAAGCTGTGTATCCTCAGGGAGCTTGCTTAACCTCTCTGAGCCTCAGGTAACTTACCTGTTAAAAGGGGATGATGATGTATCATTGGGTTGTTCTAAGGATTAAATAAAATAATGGCTATAAAGTGTCAAGTCTCAGTGATCACTGGGACTCAGCCAACAAGTGATAGAGGGGGAACTGTGAAGTACAAGCCTGCTGGCTGAGAAAGTCTGCCATGGGGGGTGGGTTTCTGGCTTTTCCCTTCCTACCTCATGTTCATCCTCTGTGCCCTAACGGTCTCACCCTGCATCTGGGGCCTGTAGCATTCACTCACTCATTCACTCATTCATTCATTCATTCATTCATTCATTCGTCCAACTACATCTCTGGGTGTTTGTGCCTGTGGTGAGGCACCACAGACAGCTCAACTGAATCTGTGTGTGGCCTCCAGGAACCTTTCCGGGCCCTTCCAGCTACCCCAGTGGCCTGCCCAGCATGGGCTGCTGCCCGGTCTGGTCCCCGCTCACTGGAGTAGGCTCCTTCCTGCTCCGTCTCTCCATAGGGCCAGAGGCCTGGAGGAGGGCGGAGTCCCAGAGACTGGAGACTCTGGAGTCGGCCCTCTCTCTGATGCCAGGGTTGGATTCTCCTGTGACCTGGCGCATGCCCCCCAGGAGATTCAGGGAAAGGGCCAGAAGCCCCCTTCTGCAGGGGTCAGAACCTCGGCTTGAGAGTCTGAGCCCAGGGCTCAGTCCAGGTTCTGCTTCCCCCCCACCCCCAGCTCTGTGACCACGGGCAGGTTGGGACCCTTAGGTGTGTCTGCCTCAGATCTGCTAAGGGTGGGCCGAGGTGTCCCCTCGGTGGGCTGTTCATGAAGTAAAGGAGACAGCACAGGCGTCCTGAGGACTGGGGGACTGGTGAGGGAAATGGGATAGGTCAGAAGAATGGCGGCCTTGGCAAAGGCCTGGCACCTTCCACAGGGTGCCCAGAGACTCTGCGGACAGTCAGAGAGCCTGCACCCTGGACATAACCCACCCTGCCCGCACCACGTACTGCACAAGGGGTTTGGACCCAGATTTGGATCCAAATCTGGTTTCTGCCACGTGCTGTGTGGTGTTGGCGGGTTACCTTTGGGCCCTGTTCCCCACATGTGAAGTGGGGTGGCAATGCCTACTCTAGGAGTCAGTCGAGAGGGAGAGGCAGGTAAATATAAAGTGTCCCTGACAGAGATGGCTGCTGCGCAGGACGAAGCTCTTTCCCGCCCGCTCCCTTTCCCTATCAAGACGTGGCAAGTGGAGTGTTATTTAGGTCCTTGGGACAGAAACAGTACAGGGTCTTCCGAGGTCCCCCCACCCAAGGCTTCCTGTCACACCACAAGTGTTGAGGGCATGAGCTGTTGTTGGGGACTTCATGCACACTATTAGATGTTTCACATGTGATCAGGAAACAGCTGCAGGGGGAAAAGTCAAATAGCTTGTCCAGGTCACATAGGCAGAAAGTGGCAGTGTCAGAATTTGAACCCAGGTCTGCCTGACTCCAGGTGGTCTCACCCTGTGGGCCCTGCCTGACTCTTGTTTCTGCCCTGGTGTCCCCCTGCCCTCTCCTGAGTGGGCCTCTTGAGATGTCAGGTCCCCAAATCAGGGACCGCGGTGAGCATCACTTCCTTGTATTCCAGGGTGTGGCTTGAGCACACAGGGGCCTCAGACTCCGCCCTGACCAGGGAAGTGGATGCCCACGTAGCAGGGGATGAGTCCTATTAGGAGGGAAGTGACTCAGGCGGCCGGCTCCAGCTGAGCGTGAGGGCTGTGTGTCTCCCTGTGTGTGGGGGTGGGCGGGGAGGGAACGTGGTACTGTGGAGACGCTGTGGGAGGGCGGCCCAGCTGGGCCAGCCGCCGTGAGTCCAAGTGGTCTGAATCACGCACCCTACAGCCTCCCCAGGCCCTGACTCCTGCTCTCCCACCTCTGCGAGACTCCCTGGCTGGGTCCCTGTCTCCCGGGGGCCATCTCCACATCTTGGCTCCTGGTGCTGAGTGTGGGAAGGAGAGGCCCAGGGGTCTCAGGGCCACCGTCCTCTTGGCCTGTGCAGGGCCATACCACGACTGGTATGGGCTGGATGGAAGCTGGCTTCTCCCTTGCTCAAGGAGAAGCTCTTTGGGCATCTTCCACTGACTGGGCCCTGCTATTTTTAGATGCCTTCTCCTCCCCTCCCAGCCTCCTACCAGCTGAAGGAGGAAATGAGTCACCTCCAACCCAGACAGGTAGAGGCAGCCTCTGTGGGCCCCAGGCAGGCCCTTCTTAGCTCCAGCCCTGGGGCCACCCCACCTGGGGTCACCTCAAAATGGCCTGCCCCTGCTGGAACATAAAGTTGGGCTGGACTGGAGGCTCAGACACCCACCATGCTTTTCTCGGGGTCCCTCTGCCATTAACCTCACAGGTCCTAGGGCAGGACTGAGTCTCCAGCAGCCCCTGAAGTCTCCGTCTCCTTAGCAGATCTGGGCCTCTGACCTTGCTGTGGGCCTGTGGCAAGCTCCAGCCGGCCTGAGGGGGGTTGGGCAGAGAAGGGGACTCATTGTGGTCCCACCCATTAGTCTCAGAGAGACCAGGGTGATGGCAAGAAGAGAGACCCTGTTCAGCGTGTGGAGGGTAAAGTATGGTGACCTTGGATATGTGTGTGTCCTGCGGGATGGTCAGCTGTCCCAGTTTGTCCAAGCTGAGAAGTTTCTGGGGACCTGAGACTTTCAGTGCTAACCAGTAGGGTCCTGGGCCAGCCAGGACAGTTGGTCACCCTGGTGCTGAGCTGTACCTTGTGTACTACAGAACAGGCAGGTGTGGTGGGGGCTTTGTCCTGTTTTGGCTTCCTGACCCAGTCTCACCGAGTCAGGGCTGGAGGACCAAGCCCTAGGTCCCTGGCCTGATCTGCTCTGTGGTCAGGGGATTGCTCTGTTCATCTCCACCGGGAAGGGACTGGGCCCAGGATTTGGGGAAGGTTCAGAGCTCTGGGCTAGAGGGGAGACCCATGAAGCCACTTTGGACAGGGCAAGTACTGTCCTTGCTAACCCATCGAGGGGAGGAGAGCCTGTCAGGCCCAGGCTGGATGGATGGGGAGGCAGAGGCTGGGGCGAGGGGAGGAGGACAGCCACCCACACAGGGCGGGGGCTGGGGAGAGGCTCCTGGGAACAGTGGAGAGGGTTGCGAGTGTTTGCATCAGGCAGGTTTGGTCCCAGGCCTCCCTTCACCTGGTACCTTGGTGTCCCAGCTCTGACATGAGAAGAGGGCCCCTGTCTGCCTGCCTGGGACTCTGAAATGAGGGCTCTGAGAGAGGGCCTGGGGCAGGGGTGGTAGCTGGGAGCCTGGTGTTGGGACAGGCCTCGCTGGATGACAGCTCACAGAGTTCTTTGGGGCCAGGGAAGTGGATGAAGGATGCCTCTGCCCTCCTCTCTGTCCCAGGCCAGCATCTGTGCTGCCTTCTCCGGACTCCAAGGCTCCTGGCCTTGAGGCTCACCCTCAGGGGAACAGTGGCTGTGGCCCAGACTTTGTTAGGAATATCTCATCTCTTTGCCTCTGTCTTCATCAACATGGCCCAGGGGTCCGGCCCAGGTAGCAACCCTGACACAACCAAGCCAGGTGACCTTGGCAAATGACTTATCCTTCCTTGGCCTCAGTTTCTTTATTGGTAAAATTGTAGGGTTAGATTAGGTCCTTTGTTTTTATTTTATTTGTCTATTTTCTGCAGTACTGAATATCAAACCCAGGGATACTCTACCACTGAGTTACCCCCATTACCCCCAGCCCTTTTTTTCTCAGGGTTTGAACCCAGGGTTCTTTACTAGTGAGTGACATGACATCCCCAGTCCTTTTTATTTTTTTGTTTTGAGAAAGAGTCTCATTAAGTTGCTTAGGACCTCGTTAAGTTGTTGAGGCTGGCCTCAGACTTTTAGTCCTTATGACTCAGCCTCCAGGTTGGTGGGATTATAGGCATTCACCATGGTGCCTGGCTTTAGCCCTTTTTTATTTGAGACAGGGTCTTGATAAATTGCCCAGCCTGGCCTTACACTTGTGATCCTCCTGCCTCAGCCTCCGGAATTGCTCTTCTCCAATCAGAGTTCTAACTGCACTACATCAAAGAGCCCGAGAGGGACTGTAAGGGGGGCTGGAGCCCAGGCACTCCCGTTCTCCCCCACCCTTGGGGCCCTCAGGTTCTCAGACAAGGTCTGCCATCTCACATGCTCTATTACTTGTGCCTGGAGAGTTTGAGGGCAAGGCTGTGGTCTTTGTTTCCCTGCAGCCCAGTAATCAGACCCCAGCCCAGCACTTTCTGGGACCTTCTATTCAATGCTGAAGTCTTGACATTCTCTAGAGCGACTTCCTGCTGTCACTGAGGTCTGTCCCAGCCCTCATTATGCAAACTTCTGTAAGGCCACAGCCTCTCCTCCCTTTCTCAGGGCAGTTATAGGACCAACACCCCCTAAGCAATATCTGACCTTGTAGGGTTTTTCCTGGCTTGGGAAGGACTTCTTCAAAGTCATCTCATCCCCTGCTGCCTGCAGGACAGGTGAGAGATTCCTACTTGGCAGATGAGGAAAGGGCTTCAGCAATATTGGGAGACTGGCTCCAGGTCCCCCTGCTGCCTGGGGGTGCAGAGCTGGAGGCCTGGAGCCACAGTCTGGGATGCCTGGCTGAGGCCCATTTCCTTGGCTTATCCCCAGGGTGTGGGAATGGGTCACCCCCTCCCCTGTCACCTTGGCTTCAGCCAGCCTGGGGCAGGGCAGGACTGGAGGACAAGGGAGGAGGAGAGACCTGGTCTTGGAGCTAGTATGGCACAAATGGGTACCGGAGGAAGCCAGCAGCCAGGCAGCTGACCCAGGGTTGCACAAAGGCCACTGGAGACATTGTGCCTGCATTGACATCACCAGTGCCCTGGAGGAACAAGCAAAGTTCTCTGGCTCTCACGATGACAGGCGTGGGGGCTGGGAGGAGCCAGGGGCCCCTGCTGCCACCTCCATGAGTCCCTACCAGCTACTGGACTGGAAACAAAGCCAAGTCAACAGTTCCTTGAATTGTGTTCCAGCCAGACTGCCCTGCCGGCCCAGAGCTAATAATATTGGCAGATGTAGGTCACACATCTTGCAACTTGATCCTTTGGGCTCGGATCCCACTTCACCATGTGAGCTTCAGGCGGGCAGTGTATGATGGGTACAGGCTGAGCTCAGGGTCCTGGGAGTAGACCCTGGGCCTGGGATCCTGGTGTGGCTAGGTCTGGACAGACCCAGGGTTGGCCTAGGTCAGGATAGTGGCCCAGAACTCGGGCAGCCTTGACACATATAAACTCCGTGGTTGACAGGCTGACAGCCTTAAGGACTGACCCGGGGAGGTCTGTGGGATGATGACAACCATTATTATAAAATTTTTACAAATCATAAAAGTGAAAAGTGCTTTCAGTTGTGGACGAGGGTGGAACCTGGATCTCCATCCTTTGTGCTCAGTGCTTCAGTGCCAAGAAGGGACCAGAGGGAGCTGAGGTCTGTGGGATCCCTGAACCCCAGTGGCAGCCGGGCATGGCCTTAGTGTGCAGCCTGAGCACTGCAGACACCATTGTCGCCTGTGTGGCGTTGCACTGCTGATGGGGGTTATCTGACGTACATGGCTGGCAGCAAAGTTTGGTGTCCAGGATGCCATCCTCAGTATGCCAGGCCATGCGTTGGCAGCCAGTAGGTGGCAAATCCTGCAGGTGACCCGAAGGCTCTTGGCCAGGGTAGCACTGGGCAGCCTGACTTCAGAGATGCGTGGTGCCTCCTAGCACAGGACTGAATGCTAGAGGCAGCTTCCTCTTCTGCCCTTTCTGTGACCCCTTCCTTGACCACTGTTCGTGATTCTCGCATTGGCCCCTGGTGTACCCATGCTTTCTTAACAACAGTTTTGGTTTGCTATTTTGGTACCAGGGATTGAACCCAGGAGTGCTTAACCACTGAGCTACATCTCCAGCCTTTTTAATTCTGAGACAGGATCTCGTTAACTTGTTCAGGGCCTTGCTAAGTTGCTGAGGCTGGCTTTGAACTTGTGATCTTCCTGCTTCAGCCTCCCAGGCTGCTGGGATTACAGGCGTGCAACACGGCGCCCTGCTGCAATAGGAGTTGTGAGACACTTTCCATCCACCTCTGCGGGAAAAGGAAAAGACCCTGCTCAGCATTTGTCCCATGACACTGGTTACCTCCCTCCAGCTGTCCCTTCAACCCCAACAGGTGCACCTTGGTCTGATGGCCCTAGGTCTGAGTGAGCCCTCCTGGCTCTGGTCCAGTGCACAGAAACGGTCCTCAGGGTAACACTGGCAGAGGAGTCACTGAGGTTGAGAAAACTGCAGGGACAGCCACCAGTGGCCATTCAGAGAAGTGTACTGGAGCCCAGAGGCCCCTTCTGTCTTCCATCTTGTTTCTCCCTCAGCCTCCTTCCTGGAGACCCCACTGCGTCCAGGCCCTGGGCTCAGCCCTGAACCAGACTGACACGACAGGCCTTGGTCTCTGCAGAGGGGAAGGCGCGGTGAACTACACAAATTCTTCCAGAGTCACCTGTGAGAGGGCCCTAGAGGGCGGTCCCTGAAGGCGACAGGACTTAGCTATGCACTGCACTGGGCAGCAGGATGCTGGTGGAGGGAAAAAGGGAGAGGAGTCAGAGCAGAGGCTCTGAAGGCCATGTGCAGCTGGAAAAGGACCTCGCTCGGGGTGACACCATTGGGGGGCGTAGTTTGGGTGGCTGTGTCAGCAAGGGGGAATGGGGCCTGCCAGAGCAGGCTTCTTCTCTTTGGCATGATAGGCCCACCTGTAAACGGAGGTTGCTGGCATCCTGTGCGGCTCAGGCACCTGTCTCTCGGCCCCATCTGCGTCCATCGGGAAGATGAGAAAATCCAGGTAAGGTAGTGGACTGCACCCGAGTCCCCCAAGGCTTCCACTCAATCTTTCCCTTACCACTTCACTGGGGAACTGCACCTCGGCCTCCCAGAGGACAGCCCAGGCAGAGTCTGAGCTGCGACAGGCCGTCCTGTCCTCCCTGGGGACAGTATAAGCCAAGGTGGTGGAAGAGGGGAGGGAGGACAAGGGTGGCAGTCAGACCTCACTCCCACAGGCAGGGCTCCGACTCTTGGGCTCTGGGGGCCGCTGGGCCAAGGCATCCTAGGTAGCCTGCCCTCCTGCCCTTCATTTCCTACCCAACTGGCTGTGGAAGTGACAAGAGGGAGGCCTGGGCCTTGTCCTTGGGGAAATACAGATTTATGAGGGTCTGGGAGGAGTGTCCCCGCTCCTTCCCCTTCCCATATGGCTTCCTTGAGGGCAGGGGTAGCTCAGAGATGCTTCTGGGATGAATAACAGAGTGGACAGGAGACATCCAGGCTGGGAGACCTCTTGGTGACTCCTTTTATTTCACTGTTCCAGGTCACATACCCTGCTCTCCTCCCCCACTCTGTGCTCACTGGCTGGCACCCCCACCTCAGCACTGTGGCAGCCCATCCCCTTCACCAGTGCTCCCTTAGTCAGAGCCCCCAGCCACAGCCTGGAACTGCACAACCCCGCCCCCACCAGATGCCACCAGTCTTCTGTTCCCTGAGGTCTTTGTCCCTTTTCTCCTCCCCCTCCAAATTTCCTCAAGGCAGGGCTGCTCCTCTGCCACCTTTGTGATGTTAGGTCTGGAAAGGGTCTTGACACCCAGTGTCAGTTAAGCTTTGTTGACAGGACAGGTAACACTTGAAAGGAGCTCACTGCCCTCGACACTGTGTAAGTGCTTCATATGGAACCTTGACTCCTCACAGCTACCCCAGGAGGTTGGCCATTTTGCAGATGAGGACATTGAAGTAGAGGGAGGTCAAGTGACATGCTCAACTTCACCCAGTAAATGGCTGAGCAGGATGGAACCAGGCCAGTTGGGCACCTGACAGCCGGTCTGCTGCCCTGTAGAGCAGGATGGACACCTGTCATTGACAAGAGGGACACCTGCCTGAATGGGCAATATACCCCAGACTAATGCCTGCTATCCTGTGGCCTTTTTGCCCTTGTGTACCCTTGGGGATGCAGGTCCCCCACCCATTCTATTTGGGAGAGTAGGTGTGACCATTCTTGGCAGTTCATGTTTGCAGAATGATCACTTTGCTACACGGATCCCCAAGACATGCACAGCTTTTAAAGACCCTTGGGGTCATCTTCCCTCCCCCAAGCCTCAACTTCCTGCTCTGGGAAGTAGGCTTCCTTTGGTATGGGGTCTGGTAGGAATTATGACACTGCGTCCACAGCCCTAGCATCTTAGCATCGTGTGGAACAATGGTCAGGCCAGGCACATGCTCTTCAGCCCCGGGAGCAGCTCCTTCCCTAGACCTGGGCACTATGGGACAAGAAGATAAGCTGGCAGGTCCCTGGAGCCTGGCTGGACTCTGAGGCTTGTTTTGCCACCTGACAGTGGGTGGGACACACTTGTCAAAGCCTCTTTTTGCTGCAAATAGACTGTGTCCCACCCCTTTTGGCTGAGTTGCCCAGAGAGGGCAGGGGATGGGTGGGTGCGTGGGGGGTAGCCCTGGCAATGCCTCTGTCAGCTGTGGTTAACAAGTGGCAGCTAGCAGGCCAGGGCAGGCTGTGGTGACCTCGGGTGGGGACAGCCAATGAGCTCTCAAGCTGTGGTGGCACCACCGGGCAGCCCGCCTGTCTTTGGCTGGTGCAACAGCGGGAGGGGCCTGGGCCCGCCAGTCAGGGCCGCCAGCCCTGTCTCTGGGAGACTGGGGCAGATCTGCCACTCATTCACAGAGAGCCTCCTAGGGCTGCCTCAGTTTCAACTTTTCCAACCTCTTCAGGATGGCTGAGAAAACTTTGGGAACTTGGCCCATCTTCTGGATCCAAGTGGGCCAGAGCCCCAGGCTGGGGAGAGGGGAGATTCTGGGTATGCTTTGTTCAAGGCTTGCAGCTGGCCTGAGGGAACTGGAGGGCTGGTTGGGAAAAGCAGAGGGTGGGGGTCAAGGCCCAGGTGCCCACCCAGGACCAGTGACAGGGACTCCAGGCTCTGCACCCTTACAGCTACCAGAGTTCCCCTTATCCTGTGCCTGTGTGGAGCCAGTCCTGAACAGCATTTGTGACTTAAGTGGCTGTCAGCTTGGGCCAGGGGCAAGGGCGAGAGAACTCCTGTGTTGTATAGGCTGGACACTATCAGTAGCAACAGGGGCCTGGTCCCCCCACCTCAGTCCCCTTATTCCACGCAGACCCACCACGGCCAATCACATAATAAACATATATTTATAGATGTACAATTTCAGAATTCTAATTCAAGAAATACAGCTTCTCAGGGGATCCTTTAGGATCTGTTCTTATTGCACATGGCTCAGCCCGTCTAGGTACAGCTACCAAGACCAGACGGTCGGGGTGGTGGGGGCAGAGCACCAGGGCCACCTCGGGTGGGGCACTCTGGCCTGCATCCAGTTCTTATGATCTCTCTGGGCCGGGGAGGCCACTTCATTGCAGGGTGCGAACTTGTTTAAAAACCAGATTTGACATTTCCTTACCAAACTTCCTTTCCCAGCAGGAATCCTATTTGTTGGGGTACTTTTAAAAAAGAGCCAAGATAAACTCGGGGAGGACAGTTGCCACCGCGTGGCTGGCAGCTTGGGGAAGTAAGGCTTTGGAAGATGGCAGGCGCAACACCATGCCCACCACCACAGGAAAGCTCGGGAAGAACACAATTCCAAAAGGCCCAGTATAAATGTGGGAATAAATAAAACCTCCCTCCTTCCTCTGGCAGCAACTGTTTTGAGAAAAATCCTCATCTGAAGGGGAGGGTAAGAAAAACATTCTGGTTCAGGTGTATCCTTCATCGAGTGTGCACGAGGAGGCCTGGTGCAGCCATGTCAACGAAGGGTGAAGACAGAGGTGCCCACAGGCACTGACTTTTCTTCATGAGTCAGGCTGCTGCCCTGGGGTCCTGGGCTGACTCTTGGAAGAAGAGTCTTCTGGAGTTCTTGGTGCATGACTTAGGAAAAACCAGTGGCAACGATGGAGCCGTGCCCTGTGGCACCTATAAGGCAAAACCCATGTAGGGACCCAGGTGGGGAAGTAGTTAGGTAGAACCTGGCACCTCTCCAAGCCCTGCAGTTCTATGGGCAGGGGACTGGCTGAGGGGCTCCTGGGCACAAGGACAAAGAACCCACCTGAGCTGGCCAAAGGCAGGGGTGGGGCAGCTTGAGTGGGTGCTCCTCACCCCAGCAGGCTGTCTGGGCCTCTACCATGGCTCAATACTGACCTGGTACCCACCCTTAGGGGCAACTTTCTTCCCCCACAGCTGTTCCTCTCCACTTTAACCATAAATCTGGTGACCTTCAGAAGTTTTCTATGGATTTATACCATCATGATTACTGCTGCCATCAAAAAACAGGCTAGGGCTGCAGGGCAGGGGACATGAAAAGCATTATGACCCAACTTTCCTTATGCCGTCAGCTGTGGCTAATGTCTAGCTTTTGAAGGACCAGGATGCCTTCCCCAAACAGGCCTCGTTTTCTGAAACACAGAGGAAATCATCTGAACAGCTTAACTCAATCCCTGCATAGTTTAAAAAGTAGACTCTATATGTGTGTGTATATATATATATATATATCTTTATATATGCCTATTTACATATAAATAGATATATATACATATACATGCATCTATAAGTTACATTCTAAGGAGAGTTTTTTTCCTTCTTTCTTCCTCTCTATCCTTGGCCAATGCCTCTGCCTGGCTTCTCCTGTGAGGTGACTGATGGTGGCTCCTGAGAGGGGGAGGAGAGGCAGTTGGGCACCCCTCCCCCAGTCTTTCCCACAGACATTTGCTGCAAGTTTTACATTCTACTTTCGTTGCCATGGTTTCTGTATCCTAGGAGCGAGCTGATGCAGAGCCTCTGCCAGCCCTGGGAGGGAAGGAAGCAGCCCCTGGCAGGTTTTCTGTCTGTCCTAAGAGCTTTCTGCATTTACTGGGTGAGAGAGAGGGCAGTTGTGCAGCGTTCGGCCTCCAATTCCATTTTAATTTTTTTCTTTGTATGTCTTTCCTTAAATATACAGTCCATCACCTTGGCTCAGTGCGTGTCACCAAAAGTTCTCCAGGGATTTCATAGTCTGGGGAGGAGAGTGGTTAACAGTCAGCTGGTTAACAGTTACCTCAGCCCATGCAAACAAGCAGCCCGCCTTGCGCAGTGCCCCTGCCCGGCTCAGCCCCCGCTGCAGTGTGCTGCACTCTCTGGAGTCACTAGCAAATGGGCACAGAGTAGAGTCTGCTGCTGAATCTGTGACGAGGGGAGACAGGTAAAGGAGGGGACAAGAAAGATCCCAATACTGAGAAGTCTCTACTGGCTCTGCCTGCATTTCTTCAGGCCTGGTGCAAGCTATCTGTTGGGGGCACTGGGAGCAGAGCCCACCACTCACATGCAGAGGTGGAGAAGGTGGGTGCCTACTCCCAGCAACTCACATTTTCTCCCACCCCTTCTGTACTGAGTGGATGCATTTGACCATGAACTCATGACCTGTTCCCTTCCTCAGACCACAGGCAAGATGCCTGGGCGGGGCCGGATGCCTGTGGCTTCCAGACACCAGGTGCAGTAACATTGGAGAGAGGGCCTGAAATCCCACCGGAGTGGGGTGTGGTCAGGGCGCACAGGCCTCTCCTGCCCACAATCAGGCTGCCCATTCATCTTGTTCCATTTCCTCCTGCCTGGAAGGACGGGGAAGGGAGGGCTCTAGGCCCACCCACTTGCACATGGTTCTTCCTGGCATCAGGCAGGCAGTGGGTGTGGGGGCTGTCTTGGGCCCTGTAATATTTGGTGTCCTAAATACCAGGGCACAGGCAATAGTCAGCTGTACTTGGGAAAGGGTTGGGGTGACTTGATGGTTGGAATAGACAAAAGAGCAACA